CGTCGACAACGGCGCGGCGATGGCGACTTATGCCCAAAGACTCCATCCATCCCGCTTTTTGAAATCACTCCTTTAATCTTTTACACCTTCTACGGATGGTTTTAAGGGTTTCTTTTGTATAACACAATATCTACTTGACCCATCTTTATTCATGTTTTTAACAAAAAGAGAAAAATAAAATTCGGTTGCAATTCGGGTATAGAGTGCTTTGAGGTTCATATGAAAAGAATTATTTTTACATCAAGGTTTTAACACTCAAAGATTAAAAAAACTTCGTGAACATTATGTTAAAAAAATATTTAAAATAAAATTAAATTTTATGGAGTTAATAATTTCACATTAAAGTACATAATATATTAAAGCATAAGTGTATGCTTGTATGAGATTTGCTTATTTTGGTTTACTCTTGGCATGCACTCTCTCTTTTTTCAGGCATTTGTTTCCATGTTTCTCTATCCTACGCTACCTCATGCCATTTGCTTCCCGCAAGGGGGCCGTTACCCTTAATCGAATAGAAAGACCGTCTTTCAAAAAATCGATAAACTATGTAAAAATAGGATTGGTAACATTTTCAGATTCTAAAATGTTTAATTTTTGCAATAATTAATATTAAAATTCAAAATCCTCTCTATAAAAGCTTTGGTGACGTTTATGAAGTTTTCGCGTAATATCAAGAAGACACAAACGTGCACCTTTTATTGATTTTTATTTCAACCAACCGCATGCGAAACGACGGTGACGTCTTCAAAGTTTTTTCAAATTTTCATTATTTTGTTTTGGAAAAACTAAAGCCCAGTTTGAAAAATAAAAAATTGTAGAAGTCTTCAATTTTGCTAAACTATCGAAGAAGCCAATAAAAAGAAAGTATAATGGCTCCATTCTTTTTATGCCGTTTATACATCTTCTTGGATATCCGCACTGCGTTTTGTTATTTGTTATTCTTGGCCACCCACCCATTGCTACTTTAGTTCCGCGACTTATGCTATTATATCCATGACATCAGTTTTCCTTCGTATATCCTCATTTCTGATGCTATCTCTTAAGCTGATACCAACATTGCTCACTCTTGTGCTCTTTGCATGACCATTAACATTCGATTACAAGCAATCATGGCTAAATTTATGACGGAAAATTTATGACATTATATGATTATGACTTTGCGCAAAGGCTTTTAATCTTAAGCAAGATTGGTTAAATTCAGTACGGAGACATATAAATATGTCTGATTAAGCCTAAATCAACATGTACAAATACAAAATTGAGATATATGATAATTTCACCCGCTATACATGAAGAAATTATGGTTTCTAAAGGGGCAATAGAAAATGTTTAAATTTTGTATTTATTTTTTCCTTCGTGCAACATTCTCCTTATTTTCTGAGCCTCTTGCTTGTGACGTTTTAATCTCTGATCAAACCATACATGTAGCATATATGCAGTACAGTCAAAAAGTCTGATCCAGGAATGGACAAATAATATGCCATACGATAAGAATTCACGTTTTATTTGCTTTTCAATATGATAACGTTTGTGGGTCGACGAGCAACACATACAGCATTGCAAATGTTTCTATCTATCATACAAAATATTAAATTTGAATTTACAAAAATGTCCAACAAAATTAGGGATTATAGAAATGCTGAATAGAGTTCCATCACTGAAATGGTCTTCAGAATATTTTTACTTGTAGAAATTTTGAGCCATCACATCACTTGAAAATGGAGTTATAACTAGAAGTCTGAGCTAAACGCATGTTCTGGTTAGTTTCCTATGAGAGTCTATAAGTAGATAAATTGTTATCAACCATTAAATGCAATTGCCTGTTCAGGTGTGAGTTTAGCAGGCTTCTAATACGAGGACATTCGTGTTTTTTTAATTGTAGTTCTGCGATTTGGTGATGCTGTGGAAAGCTTTTTAACAATCGTTACTGAATCTCTTTCACCATCCTTCCTTAATTTAATCTCCGCAGTCATATACAGTTGGTTGTAGAAAATATTGAGATCTTGAAAGGCATGAACTAAAGGTTTTTTTTTTGCTCGATGTAACATGTCTTCGGAGAAGATAATGTTTTGCTTAACCCAAGTGGAGTCGTCGCTTCATTTGGTATTAATTCGTAGACAATTTTTTTTTAAACGGTGGTCTTGGAAAGAGTTCGTATAATTTTAATAATAGCACTAAATACTTCCAACAGAAGACTAGTACTACCAAATACTGAAAGAAATCATTTCAGACTAGATACTGCTGCCAAATGTTTAGATAATCTTATTAGAAGACTAAATATTGCCAGCAGAAGACTATATTCTACTGACAGAAAACATTTCGGACTTCATACTGATGCCAAATGTTTAGATACTCTTTGTAGAAGACTAAATACTGCCAACAAAAGACTAGATACTGTTGACAGAAAACATTTCAGAGTAGATATTGCTGCTAAAGGCTTTCGTTCTCTTAGTAGAAGACTAAATACTGCTGCCAGAAGCTTAAATCTTGCTTGCAAAGGAGGAGATAAGCTGTGTCTCCTCTTCAGAAGGCTGAATACTCTTGGAAAAAGCAGATATTACTAACAGAAAGCGGAATATTGCCTTCAGAGGGATGATACGGCGGGTAAGAAACGAAACACTGTTACTAGCTAGATATCACTGTCGGAAGACTAAATATTGCTAAACAAAAGACATGGTACTGCTGTCAGAAGAAAACTGCTATTAATAGTAAGATTAAAGACTCTGGAAAGAGGGGCCACTTGATTTATTCTAGTTTTATTAGGATGCGGTGATCTGAAGAAAGTTTTCTGACGATGTTTTTAAAGATAATGATGTCTATGACAGTGGGAAACTAATTATGCAACAAAATCATAAACTAATCGGTTAGGATGTAAATGAAAGTGTTTCGCATTTTCGCTTACATTAAGTGAATTTAACAAAATAAACTTGTTTTGTTCCCTGCTTTCGTAGGCAACTGGCTGCTGTTAAACAATGGATGATATTGAAATGAAGAATAGTGGCTTCTGCCTTCGAAATGATTTTAACTATCATTTTTTTGACTCACATTGCTCCCACATTGTTTCATATGCATAGTTAGAAATTTTTGACATTTCTCTAAATAAAGCATCTAGGCGCTAATACAACTCTAGCATAATATAGTTGTTCCCTTTGTTGTTCATCTTTAACCTAAATCTATTCCCAACACCATAGAGTTACTTGCAAATATTTCACATTTCTTAGTATAAAACCATCTCTAATTTCCTAATGATACCAAAGATATGTTTGGAACTCTCTTACATATTTTTATATGAATATCTTTAATATTAAAGCATGTCTATGAGGATGGCATGGATGTAATTAGTATTAGCCATAGGAAATATGAGAAAATCTGTCTATTTTCGTTTAGGTAATTTAAACTATAGAAATAAACTATCTTATCTTTACACATTTACTTCGTTTTCTACAAATTTATTCCCGATATTGAATGTTTGTAAAAATTGAAACATAAAATCTTTTTATATACAATTATATTTCGATTTTATGAATTATGAAAAAGCTCTCGACTTTTCGCCAAAAGATAATTAAGCTTCTTTTTCGTGTCATTTCCCTCTATCGATCTTTTCTGGATACAAAACCCTATTAATCGTAATTCCCTCGGAATTATTTATCGACGAGAATCGAGAAACAAGCATCATCCTATTTCCCAACTCAGCTCATTCGCTTTTTCACCTATTTGTCCTGCATTCGATACAAGGGGCTGCCTATTTCTCACCTGAAAATCAATATCCGTACATTATTTAGATTATTAAACGCAAAGCTATTATAATATTTATATGTTTTCAATTCAATAATTACGCAATGGGATAATTTTAAACCTAGGATATAAATTGTGCTAAAAGAAAATCTGCATAATATGATAAGGCTGCGATGATCTAACTCAAATTATGACCTGCAAAAAAACTACGTTGTAAAATGTCTCATAACAGTTTGCTGAAAATTATGCTTATAAATAACCCGGTCGGAACCAGATCGCCAGGCAGACCATACAAGAGATGGAGAGATATCTGGCAGTCAATTTGTCAGAAGATATTTTAGAGGCAAACTTTATCAAGAATAATAGACAGAACAGTCTAGGTCCTAGACTCTATTGAGAGAAGTAGAAAAAAGGTATTAAGAGCACCACAAGAAAATGCTAAGCAACAATGTGAAAATTAATTGTCTTGGTTCTGTTTAGAGAATTTGAGAACTTGTATTAGTGAAAAATCGCTTCGCTTAACACAAAGAAAATGACACACCAATCGTTTAATGATTCGGATTCTTCTGTGATCCTACGTTGGTGAAAAAGTCTTTGTTTGATCAGCCGAGGGCTGTGTAGGCGCCTTTTTTTGAGTAATTCAGAGATTCTTGCGCAAAGTAACCTACTACAGTCCCATCATATCTATCGCAGAAATTACGATACGATGCAGCCTAGTAGTGACCATCGAGTAATGCTAATTATGCCAGGAATTTATTAAAATTGGTGACATGATTTCTCTACTGGCATCGAAGATGATAATCCATTGCCGACTTTATTACAATCATTGATTTAAATTTTATGAAACCTTTTTTTTGTGATACAACAGAATTAAATTCTTAAAGATTTTGCATAAATATTAACTTCGATCTCTTTGTGATCTCGGACAAGTTTCGTAAAGAACTTCTTACCTCAAGATTCTCGTATGACGATGCGATCCATTTGTCTAAAATACCAATCAATACCAGTTTAGGGCTTTTCAAAGCATTCTATTTACAATAACGATTATGTGGTCTACTTCCAGTGGACTTGAAATAGCGACCAAGTTTAAAATATTTTGGATATTTTGGAACAAAAAATAACAAATAACGAACACTGTATAATTTACTCCAGCACTTTTCATAGCTGACGGGTAAAATTGTTGTGAGAAGCGAAATTTATAACTAATTAGAATAAGTCAAACAATTTATATTTTAAATTGAATAATTTTTCTTATCGTATTACAGTTAACGACTCATTCTGTGACCGCATGGAGCCATACCGCGGATCACGGGGGTGAGCTTTCGGTGTTCTGTTGGTGAGAGTCGGCGAAAGGGCGAACTTTAACCCCAAGGAGTTTCAACGTTGTGAAGGAAGAGGAAAGGGAGTTGAAGGACGCCCCAGAAGTCGGCCAAGCACGACTACACCAGCCATCATTATCTCAGTGCACTAGTGACCAATGAAAGAAAATGAAAAAAATTAATAATAATAAGAATAAAATAAAAATAAGGAATCGAACTAACTCACGAACTTTTTAAATAACACTTCGATAATAAAAAAAAAAAAGAAAAAGTGTTTTTGGAAAATGTTTGAAATAATTTTGGAGAAGTGGAAAAATCAAAGCGAAATAGATTCTCTTTGTTAAAGAGAGATTGTCCGGAAAAATGAAACGAGTCAATGCGCCAGAAAAATTTTACTAATGAAAAAAGTTTTTTGTACATAACTTAGATATATATTATATATATTAATTGTAATGATTCTTTTCGAATAAATTTGTAAGTTAAACAAGAAAAAGTGATGATTGAAAAAATTGGATGCCATCACCCACGTTACGTTAAAAAAAATTAAAAGAAATAAAATAAAATTGGGAACTTCTTTTGTAAACTAAGGTGTTATTCTGTATACTGGTGTGTAGAGATTGATTCCTGCAAATTTCAATCCCTCAAAGAACCAAACCGCAACAAGTTTACAGATTATTGTTTGAATAAAATAATTTATTTACAATTTTTAATTTAAAATCAAGCCAATGGAAATTTCGAGCAATAATGAAGTCAATTATTAAACAAAATTGTTTTATAAGTTATGTTTTATTTGGAAACATTAATTATATCATATCGATTAGTTTTGGGACAACAATCTGTAAACTAAAATACCTGGACGAAAATGTTATCTTTTCTTACTGTTTTTTGATTAAATTTCTTTTCTTTTGTACATCATTAAAAATAACCATAGTACTTATCCTTGAATAATCCCAATATTATCCTAAACGTATGAAAATATAATTCAAAAAAAGAAAAAAATCGAAATAAAATAAAATTTTAAAAATATAAACAAATTAATGAGCACAGAATTGTTCCAGTCTACACAATGTAAAAAAAAATATATGTAAAAAAACGTGTAAAAATGTGAACATAAATGTAATACTGTTTTTAAGTTATAATATGTTAGAAAGTGGTGACCAAATGAAGAAAATTACGAAAAAGTCCCATTTGCCATAGTTTTGCCATATGCAGAATAGCAAAAATGAAACGAAAAGAAAACGAAGACTATTTTTAAAAAGATTTTAAAACTGGCGTTGACCAAAACTAGAAACAAATATTTTAAATTCCAATAAAAATAGTCGAAGGTGAGAAAAAATCAAAGAAGTGGGAATTTCTAAAATAAAAAACCTTTTTTGTAAAAAAAAAAAAATAAAACAGAAAATTAGTATCTTAACACCTTAATGTTATTTAAAAAAGTAGAAAGAAAAAAACTTATCTTGTAGATTATGTATCTTAAAAAATATATCTCTAGTAGGACTTTTAACAAATTGAAAGACTTTTTTAAATTGTGTGTGAGAAAAAATTTTATACTACTGTGAAAATATATAAACTATATAAATAAATATAAAAAAAAATATAATAAAAAAAATATGAAGTAGCTCTAAGTTTATTTCAACAAAAAAAAAATCGTTTCTTTTTTTAAATTTTTACTACAAATAAATTGAGGATATAAAAATTAAACTATTGTTGTTACTTTTGTGTAAATTTAAAAATGAAAAATTAAAAAAATGTTTTAGAGCTATATCATAAAAGTGATATGTTTAAGTATTTTTCCTGCTCTTTAAGAGCTACTTGTGAATAATAACGTTTTTTATTATTTCCTTTTTGTGATATAAAGTTTCGTCGCCCCAAAAAATGAAAACATCTTAAAAATAGAGGGGCAATAAAAACCTTAGTCACGCGAAAGTCATATACGAAAAGATTTTTGAAAAAAAAAAATGATATGAAACACGAGTTAATAACGAAATTCTTTTGTGAATTTTGCACTATTTTTATACATATACTACTAAATAAAGTTCTTATATCATTTTTGCGTGGCTAAAAATACGTGCACAATATAATAAAATTAGTTGCAATATAATATACAATTGATATGTAATTTTAATATGTTTTAATGACTAACAAAATTATTCTAATAAATATTTTTTATGATTTATCGATGTTTTGTCTATTTCATCTTATTAATAATAATTAATTCTTTATGCACCTACTTCACAATGTTTCCCCATCTTCCAACCTGACCATTTTACTAACACTCTTTCTACTCCTTTGGACTTTTGTCCTTTACAGTGTGTTAATTAATTAATCATATCCGACGTCATCATTGCAAGTATGCAGCCAATATCACAGTATTGGTATTACAATACGCGATTTGCGTATTCAGACAAATTCAGTGTGATATTGGTTGCATACTTGCAATGATGACGTTGGGCACGCTAATTAATTAACACACTGTACATCCCACTCAACTTCGCATTAGAATACTCAACGATATCATCCACGCATTCCAATAAGATGTACTGTTTACCAGTAATGTGTTCTTTTTTCACCAACATTGTAAATTTTCTCCAGTTTATTAATATTGATATTTTCATTCGTTCTTGAGATACAACTGCTTAAAATTTCTATTTCATATCCACAAAAATCAAACATACAGAGCTGCATTTAAAAAATCATACCAATGTTTATTAAACATAAGAAATGATTTATGGCACATTATTAAATCTTCATTAAATTTGCTTTAAAATGTTCTTTGTTTCATGTCGATATTTCCATTCGTTCATGATTCACAATATTTAAAGATTATATTTCATATCTGTAACAATCAAACATGTAAAGTTGAATTTAAGATATTATAACAACGATGTTTATGAAAAATAAGAAACTATTTATGGCATATTAAATCTTCATCAAATTTGCTTTAAAACTTTCTTTGTTTTATGATTATATCTACATACGTTCTTAAGATATGACTCCCTAAAACTTGTTTATTAACATTAAATTTGCTAAAAATTGCTTATTATATCATAACGATATCTCAATTAGTTTTCGGGATACGTATAGATTAATTAGCATAACATTTATGCTTATTTATTTCATTTTAATGTTGTCCCTTCTGCTATATGCGTACTAACCTCCAAGTACTTTTGTCCTTCTTACACTTACCCAACCGTACGATGACTCTAGTTTCCTTATCAAAATTCATCCAGTCACTGCCTCCGGAACGTTTCTACTACAAATGTTTTCTAGAAATTATATCATATTGTTATCACACCAGAAAGGAACATCGTAAACTTATAAGGATGGAGGTAACTTTTTAGGCTCTTGAACCTTCAGGGGCCTTTAAATAGGTCCATTCCACTTTCCCAAACAGAATATATACATACATATAGTCTGGTTTTCTCAGAGTCTCTAGTGAGACTCTGGTGAGTCCAATCATTTTGCGGTAACGTATCATCAGGGGTTGTTCTGTTGTGCTATAGGTCAGTCATCCTATCTCCAGTAATTAAGAAGACGTGACAATCGATAGAGTAGAGACGTGGGTAAAGTGTGGGTGTGAAAAGTAAAAGAGGAAAAAAAGTGAAAAATAAGAGAAAAAACCAGGTATCAAGTAACCAACAGAATTATGTAAGTACTCGATAGAATTCTTTTCCTTTCTTTTATAATTGTTCTGTTTCTAAAAGGATAAATTAAAGATAAAATTGTTGTCCTTAATTAATTCAAAGTTTTATTTATTTTTCGTATTATTTTTTTTTTGACATCCGCCGCTCATCCTTTCCCACATTGTCTTTTCACACATCTGACTACGTTACGAGACTCCTATAAAGTGTGGACCCGAGGAGAATACCCTTCTCCGAAAATATACTCGGAGGCCTCTTTACCACCTCATGCTCGGGGGTGATAATAACTCGTTAATTATTTCTTTTCCAAAACTGTATTCATACCACTCTACTTATTTCACTTTCTTTTTACCCTACCCTCTCCAGTACTTTGGATACCTTGGCATTAAAGACAGCCCATCATCAATAATAACTTCTATATATTTAACTTCTGATACGTAAATAATACTCTTAACCCGATTTTTAGTATCGATTGTCTGAAATTTTCCTTTTGACATCATCATTCCGACATCTTATTATTCTTTATCTTTTTAATCTATTTATTTCCAATACCTCGTTAATAAGATAAAGGATATCATCCGCGTACGTTCCAAATTCGAGTAGTTTGCTAAATTGTTATCGTCTTCAGCTCTCTTCCTATGCCTTTAAAATAATTTCCTTGATTCTTCAGCCGATTGTAAATGGTGCGTTGTTTGTTGTTGGACATATATTGCTCTTGCTGAATGCTACTTTTTCCTAAAATGATAAGTCTATCGCAAGTACTACAAAGTATCCTTTTGTAAAGAAAGATACCGGAGACGGTACTTCTTGTTTATGTAAGTCGTACATTACACTGGTCTACAGTGGTTGTTGCCCTAGATATAAAATTGATTTTGTAAGATTTGCTCTTGTTTTTTTTTTAATCTTNTGTTCCCGACACCTGGGCCAATCCAAAATACGGGGCGGATATTTTACAATAATTTTCTGAGCCAATGAGGAAATTTGGGGAAGGGAACAATTTTTGACCACGGGGCCAGAAGATAACATCCGCCACTAGCTAATCCCAAAAATCATCACGTAAATCCCAAAGTGTGGGAGCCATCAAACCTTTACGTTTTCTAACGTCTATTGTATTGCTTGTACATTAATCTTTCTCAAAATTTATTTCGACGTCTGGTCACCATCCCGGACGTCGGTCGTAAACGCGAGACGTGATTTTTGGTTTTTAGAAGAAAAAGGCTGCACGCCAGGAATATACAATTCGTATGGTTTATTCCCAAAACCATTAAATAATTTCCGAATTATTACACTTGTTCTAATGAGACTCTGATGAGTCCAATCATTTTACATTACCGTATCATCAGGGATTGTTTTGTTGTGCTATAGGTCAGTCATCCTATCTCCAGTAATTAAGAAGACATGACAATCCGTTGTTTCTCAAGATCACTGACCAAATCACCACCTCCTCTCCCAGAGTCTTATAGCCAGTATTTCTTTACTCTGTAACAAGTCAGAAAAAATGTATACATATATTAAATTCGGGGAAGTACAGAAATATTTTGGGAGTGGGAACAACGGATGACGGACTTGCGAGAAGACCAGGAAGAAAAAAA